GGACTCCGCCGGGATGGTCGGCGATGTCTGCGGTGTCCTGGCGTGGTCCGCAGGCAGGCTGCTCGGAGAGTGAGGTAACTCCTCTTCTCCTCCTCCTTCTCTTCTCTTCTCTTCTTCTCTCTCTTGCTTGGATCCTCTCTTGTGAAGAATGAGGGCTCTATTTATAGATTTTCTGGAGTGGCATGGTCCGTAAATAGGTGTGAGATCAAGGGCGAATAGGGAGTGGTCAAATGGACGGCCGATATTGAATCCTACGATCGTTCACCGTTCGTTGGACATTTGGAGGCTTTAATGATGTCGGAATTTAGTGATCTTGGGCTCGTTGGATTCGTCTCGTCGAGCCGTTCGATTCGAGTATAAGCTCGTCAAAATCGGAGACCGTTTGGTAACTCAAATTGCGGTTTGAACCTTCCAACAGCGCTTTGAACCCTTGATTCGGACTCATTTGGGCTCGGATTGGGTTAATCTTGGTGTCGTTGGGTTTGTATTTTTGAGACGCTCAGTTTGACTGTAAGCTCGCTGAAATCGGAGTTCATATGCTCCCGAAATTAATTTTTGAAGTTTCCAACTAGGTTTTGCCTCGAGATTCATGCCCGATCAAGATGATTTTGCGATGCCGTATCAATATTTATTTTTAAAAGAGCCAACACAAGGGCTAAGAAGTCTAATCATGGCTAGCTCAAGCTCAGCTCGCTAGCTCACGAGCTCAACAAACTCGGCTCACAAGCCATTTATCAAGTCTAGCACAAACCAGCACTTACACCCCACAACAATCAAAATTCACCAATAAAAATATTAGTTGTTTAAAAAGTTATCATAAAATTATGTTAAAAAAAGAATCTTAAATATATTTATAGAACTAAAATAATTAAACAACCAATAAATGCTCAGGTTGCAGATTGCATGCCGTTATAGTTTAAATCAAATTTATCATTCCAAAGCATAAAGAGCTACAGAAATCCAATTCAAAGTTTAATTTAAATAAATAAAATGTAAAAAAAAATTCTTGACAAGAACAAAAAGGGGATATAACAAGTTGCCAAAGAGATCTAAGATTAGGCAGTTCAACAACATCTTCAAATCTCGCAAAGCATTATATACAAATAATACACATTATTTATTACAACAAATAATGAAAATAAAGGTCAGATGATCTCTCTCTCTCTCTCTCTCTCTCTCTCTCTCTCTTTCTCTCTCTCTCTCTCTCTCTAAGAAGGCCTCCATTGCAATTCAACCTGAATCCTGCCATTTTTGGAGTCAATGAGATTGTATTTCTCATTGATTCTCTTATTTGTGATGACATCGGCAAGGCTGATGACAACATAACCCAAAGTTTCCTGAAATAGATAAAAATTAAATTAAAAAATTTTATAACTAGATCATTCATTGAATAGGAGAAAACGATGGTAAGAAAATCACTTATGACTAAAGTTTTATTTGGGACAGCTTTCTTATTGTTTTTTAAAACAACTTTTTAATAAAAAATTTTTCATTAGAAAAATTTTATACTAAAAAACTGTTTTAAAAAATAGTAAGAAAACTGTCCCAAACGAAACCTAAGTGCCACATAAATGAGCAATGTAAAGATGGATTTATGGAAAATTAGATAGAAGAGATTCAGAAATGATAAAGAGTTCTTAAATATTAATGTAAAATAGATTTAATAGCTCGTTCTTCTTCACACGAGAAATAAATGAAAAATGAGAGCTAATAAAGCAAATTAAAATAAAAAAAGGTTATGATAAGGCTAATGATGATGAAGACGATGACAATGATGTAATAAAGTTGTTCCCTGCTTAAAAGCTTGTTGATGATTCAAATCAAATCATTTATCAAGAGGAAAAATGACCAATTTCAAGAATGCTTCTTTCAAACAAAGGACACTAAGGGGCTGTTTGGTAGCACCCAGTATTTGATTTAAACAGAATTTGGTAAATCCGCTAAATCCAGATTTTGGAAATCCTAAGGGCCTAAATCCTAAAAAAAAAATTTTGGTAACATTCATGATAAATCCTATTAAATCCCGTGTGCCTGTTTGGCTATAGAACGGATTTAACGAGCAGACTCTTCCTCTCGAGCCAACGGATTTCGTAAATCCGGCTAAAAAAAGGATTTCGGAAATCCAGGATTTAGCACGAAAAGACGAAATTTTTCATCTACGACGGCTTTCATTTGCCGCCAGATTTGGTTTTGCATTTTAGGCCATTTGGCTGAATTTAGCTCAAATCTGCCTCAAATCCGGCCAAAATTCTGCTACCAAACAGCCCCTAAAAGATCACTAAGATCAGAGAGAGAAGCTTCACCTTAGAGTGTATGCCAATACTTGATGGCCTGCTATGGACCTCCACTTGCAATTTGTCATTGACAGGGGGTTCCTCGCATACAAACTGAAACTCTTCTTCCCACCTTGGATCCCTAGTTTTCTTGATGTGCTACATAAGGGGGAAGAAAAACTCATTATCAGTAATAAAATCATCAAAAGAAAGCTGAAGAACTAGATCAATACGTGCAGGGAAATTTCCTGCCAAAACAAAAAAATTACACAAGTAAAAATAACAAAATAAGCATTTATTTCGAAACCTTGGTCTTTTTCTCTTCTCCTTTGAAAATAATTCGTGCATATGGGTTGGTATGGTGCTTTCCCTCAAGATCTTCAGCTTCATGAATTGAAACTACCAGCAAACCTCCACCAGCCGGAGTGCCTTCAGGAGCCTTATCTACACCGCCATCATCAACTGCTTCATTGGGCAGAGTATCTTCCTTGAAAGGACTATAAAGCAGCTCTAAAACAATTTGGCCCCGCGATTTCTCATCGGTTTCAGATAGATCCATATTTTTTACCAACTCAAGAGTCAGAGTCTTCTGTTCATCAGGTGTAAGCTCTTTCAATGGAATAACTTGCATGCCAATCTTATCATGTTTGCCAACCTAAAACAAGAAATTAAGAAGAATGTAACTACAAAACTCTAATAAAATTTGGATGTGATTCATAACGTAAATGAATAGAGAAACATACCTTCTCCCAATCATAGACGATAAGCTCCAAAGCTTGAGAATTTGGGTCTTTGACAACCAATCTGAAATCCTCGTTCCATTCAGGATTAAGGTTGCTGTGCTTCACTTTTGTTTTCTTGGAGGGGAGCTTCTCTTCTGTAAGCTTTAGCTTTACATATGGGTCTGATTTGCCCAAAAGGTCTTTCTTTTTTAGTTTAAATGCCCTGACTACTTTTACATGAAGTATTCCTACAGGCTTCTTCATGGCGCTGAAGACCCAGAGAAAAACCAGTCAAAAAGTGATCAAATTCACAGAAAAATGTTCGTGTTTTAAATTAATATGTTACTACCTTGAAAGATCCATGATTGGAATTTCTAGAGTTTTTGGCCAAAGATACATGCTTGCAACCTGATTCTTGATAATATCCTGCATACATGATAATATAAGAAGCATCAGTATCAAAAGAAAAGTTTTGATAACATGCACAAAAGAAATTCTTAAAATGTGATTTGAACCCGCTACCTTGAGGCTTTAAAGAAAACACTAATCACCAAAGCAACTTCAAGTCTAGATTACAGATAGAAAAAACTTGTAGACTACATCCAAAGTCATTCTGATAGGAAATACTTGAATATTTCAAAAAAACCCTAACAAAAATAGAGAAAAACAGCAAGAGAAACACACACAATTTTGGTGAAAAACTCTCCAAATTGAATTTAGATTGCAAAAGAGAGAACTAACGGAAACAATGAAACAAAGATACAATTGATCCTCAATTCGAGAAGAATACCGTCTCTCCCAATCTCTAGATGAACCTAGAGCCCAATACACCAATAAAATCCCTCACAAGAACACAATAATCAAACATAACACTAACCCTCATCTCCCTTCCTATTTAAGGCATACAATTAAAACAATAAAACAAAAAGACCTAAAGGCCCTTGCCTCTCCCTCCTTTGTCTCCGGTTTTGAATTTGAAATCAAGTGGACCCCACCCCTTCCCACCGCCGCCATCTTCTATGATAGACTTGAACTGGCCCCTTCTAAGGGGCCGGTCTAACACATTCATTAACTCGGTTTATTTTAATCTTAGCCTTCAATAGTGATATTTTCTTTGCCAACACTCGAATCCATGCAACATAGCCTAGAATAGATGCTTGGGCCACGTCACTTATGTGCTATCAAAATCAAAGAAGACTAGGCATCGTATAATAGATAATCCTACTTAAATAGGCCAAAGTATACCATTCCAGACCTCTGAAAACTGTATAACCAGAGAACAAAGCCCAATCCTTCAGTCCACAGCTAGATTAATAATTATAGAAGGCCTAAAATCTAATGTGGCAATAGCCTTGATCAACCATCAAATCTAATGTGGCAATAACTTCGACTAAACTCTTTTATCTTAGATCAACTGTAGAGATTAGCTAACAATTAATATTTCCATATTCGGATAATCCACAGATGAATTTATTGAAAAATTAAATCCCTTGCAAATTGTCAAATATTACCAGCTAATCATCATCCATACTCATTGTCATCTCAGCCATCTCTTCATTTCCATAGAACACAGCTACTCTGCTATTATCACTGGAGCCTCTAATAAAAAAACACATTTCAGTTCATCATAAAAAATAAGATTATTTTTACCGTTTCATTTAGGTTTTCTTTTCATAGAATGGTGAATGAAAAAAAACAAAATGGGTAAGCTGAAATCCATGACCTGGAGAAATAACATTCTTCAAAGACTTTGTCATGTTCCCTTTCACTTGGGTTTTCTTTCCATAATTTTTTTCATATTTTAAAGAGTTTTTCTTTTTGGAAAAACCATTACTCGTGTCAACAGGAAGTAAAAGACGCACCAATAAGACGAATGGCAAGAATTCATATAGAATAATTAAAAATAGAAGGACGTAACGAAATATAACATGGTTGCAAGTTGTGCAAAAAACAGCGACACAAGATAAAATTATCCTCATGTAACACTCAAAAGGAATGAAAGAATGAAGATTCAAAGGAATGAACAGAGGAAGATTCACAGGGCTGAACATAGGAGAATTCATAGAATAACAAGAAGTTTTTCTCCCACTACATGGGGTCCGCAACATGAATAATTTTTCTTCATCGTGTACTATTAAGAGTCAAATCCTCATTTAAATCTGATAAAAAATTATCATTTTTAATAAATTCTAACCATTTTTTTTTAATTCTACCCATACCTTTCTTAACATAGGCCCAATCTAATATATTTACTCTCCTAACCGAGTCATCGAAAGACCGATGCTTTATGTGACCAACATACTTGTCAATGGCGAATGGCGCACTACGGTGCAAAGTTCCCCGTTGAGCAATAGCGTATAGCACACAATATTAAATACAATTAAATAACAAATAATAAGTTGATTGGATAAAAGTTTAGGCATAATTATCATGTTAAACAACAAATGACAATTTTAAATCCTACATAAACTTAAATCAATAGATATGAGCATGATTTAAGCATAATTTAGCCTAAATCCTGTCAAATAGTAAAAATGATAACTTTAAATCCTACAAAAAAGTTAGATCCTTTATTTTTTATATATATTTTATTAATTTGATAATTAATTAATAATTAATTATAATATTAATATATAAACCTTAAAATTTTTAATTATAAACCAACGTTCTTTGCAAGTCACACCATCTTATTAAATTTTCCCTTAAGTTTGAGAGGTATTTTTCTATCACACAACAGGGTCCCTACCTTGGCTCTTGTGTTGGCTCAAAAAATTATTATAATAAAATTTAAAAAAAAATAAAAAATAGAATAATAATAATGAATCACTTAATATAAAAAAATATTTTTTTAACATTTTTAATAACCTTACACCTAAAATCATGAATGGTGATATATATTAAGTGTATTTTATATTAATATTTTTAAAAGAACCAACGAGCCAAATAAGGGCTAGCTCAAGCTCAACGAGCTCGGCTCACGAACCATTTATCAATTCGAGCCCAAACTAGTTCACGACACTTCATTTTTTTTAAGTCTCTCCAACTTTGATTTACTAATACAATGCGAAAAACAAAAATCTCTATTTTCAGTTAGGATGTTAAGGTCACTAAAGTCACAATCCTATTCTCACAACCTTCATTGAAATTTTTATCGAAATATATCAACCACCGATGTTGAATATCTTCTTCTAAGAAAAATATTTTTTGACATTTATCCTTAATGCACTTCACTTGAACTAAATTCTTATTTCTCATATTATTTTCTTGGCTATTTTATAATATATCTTTTGCCCTCTTTAGTATCTAATATATTACGTAAATAACTAAAAACTAAATTTGTATATCGCATATTATTTTCTTAGACTCCCTACAGGACCCTCTATATTTTTCTCCCAACTATCAAAGCTTTTACATCTAAATTAATTTTTACAACAAAGCTTCTAATTTTTTTTATCATTTCTTACATATTTTAATTCCATCACCAACTATTTTTACTAATAAGAGATTTTCCTTTTAATTTTTCAAGCACATATTTTGCAACATTCTTAATCTCACTAATTACTTTTTCTCACATTGCATTAGGTTTCTCATAAACAACCTAAATTTTAAGATCATAAATCTTACTTTTAAAAAAAAAAATTATTAACATTCTTTAAATACTCTGATCTAATCCTAGGATAAAATTTTACTATACTTTTTAATTTTCATTCCTTAATCTTAAAATTCAAAACTAATAAGTGATGTTGCGTACATAAACTTTCACTGGCAATGACTTTACAATATTTTAGCAATATAAAAAATCTCTTTCTTAAATAAGAAAGTAATATAACTGAGTTTTATTATGTTCATTCTTATAAGTGATGATATGCCCCTCTTTTCTTAAGTAAAGTATTAACAATTACAGAATTATAAGCTAAAACAAAATCTAATATAATCCTACCACCTTTATTAGTCGCTCCAAATTCATATCCTCCAAAATATTTAAAAAATTCACCACGTGCATTTAAACTTCCTTCAAAATATTATTTATATTAATTCTTTTGAATCATTTCAAAATTTTATTTTAAAATACATATTCAAACCTGCATATAGAGCATAAAAACTTATAATATATTAATCTTAGCATCAATAACAACATTTAAAATTATAATTATATCTTCAATTCTATTAATTTTTACAATATTATCATTTAAATTATTATTTATAATCACACCTACACTTTTTTAATATGACTCCTACCTGAATATCATAGATTAAATCCTAACTATCAATCTTGTTAGCCTTTTCCTCAACTCATTTATTTCCTGAATACATAAAATATTTATCTTCGTATGAATCATAATATCTATTAATTAAATTTATTTTGCCTGTAAGAATACATATATGCTCAGTTCCTATCATAATTCTAGTTTCATGGACTAAATTCTTTGCCCATATCCATCAATGATAAGGGAACCCTTGCTTACACTACACCCGAACACCAGTGCAACAGTTATTGCACACTTTTCACAATATTTAAGCCATACATCACATTTTCCAGGGAACACCCTAACATTAACATAATATATTAAAGGATTAATGTCATGATTGTTTGATAAATTTTATGATGATTGTCAACTACCTAATGCAACCCTCCATTTTTTCATCTAAGACTTGGGACCTAGCAATGACAAATGAAAATAATTATCTTACGGATAATGACTAGTTGTATCATCATTATCATAACAAAATCAATTAAATAGCCGTTCAATTCTAAAAGCAATAATTTTCAAGCAAACTCTGTTAACAATTGAAAATCAAAAGATTGAGTCAAACACACCAGCGATTAAACTTATTTTCAATTCAAAAGCTTAAAAATATAGGTAAGAACCAATCACTTGGTATTTCTACCCCCAACACATTCTTGATCTATTTGATGTAAAGCTCAAGTCAATAATCTCATGCATCAAGAGAATCTCCTCCTCACATAAGAGTTCTCCACAAGAACATCACTATGATGAAATGGAAACCTTTTGAACATCAAATATTATAATCAAGAGCCCACTTAATCACATGGAGTTATCATTGTAGTCGTCTACTCCTTAAACTTGCTAAACTATGGTTGAAGCTAGCCTAGACCAATAAGAACAACAAACTGCATGAATATCTCTCATCAAATATTACTACATGCTACCTATCAAGATATTGGTTGTTTCTTTCTTACAAGTTGTATATTTTGCAAGAGTTGGCCAGCATTGATGGCCCTACATAATAATAGCAGCAAAAAAGATAGTGCAAAAGTATCATGGCCTCAAATAAATATGTTGGTGCATGATGTTAAAAGCATCATTTGAAGGATTCTTCAAGTTATTTGGGAGTATATAAACAGTCAATATTTCGTTTAAGAAAACTGTATTAAATTCCCTTTTTTATACAAATTGCAACTAGGACGCTGTTTTTTTCAAATCCCACAAAGAGGTCACTCTTTTTTCTTGTAGTAAACGATAGGCTCATCCAATCGTTTCCATAAACTTTGCAAATCTTCTGTATTTGGAATAAAAAGACCTCCGCTAAAATTTCATCTCACATTTGCACCATAACTGCAATATATGATGAGAACTCTAGAGCAGTGAAACTGTTACCATTCTGATGCAAGGGAAGCGCATAATAAACAATCAAATTTAATTTAGGCATGTGTGTTGCCTAACAGGAAGAAAAAGCACTAAATGCATCTATTTCAATGCTACGAGGAAAAAGAAGAAACAACTACTCTAGGAGTTTCAATAAATGAGGCCTAATTGCAACGCGTCAAAAACAAAAAAAAAAAAAAAAAAATTGTTGCAAATTTCTCTTTTACTCAACAAAGAAACATTTTAAAGCTTTTGCAGCAAATAAGAATACAGGAAGGCAACATCAGCGCATTGAGAAGGCATATATGTTGCTGCCCACTAGTGTCAATCGTAACAGGTAAAATATGTTGTCGGTAAAATAGAAATTAAAGAAGGTTAACACCAAACTTCTACGCTTCATCCAAAAAAGACTTGTGGAAATTATATAATCACTAGTTACATTATACTTCGTTGTAAAACTGCAGGAAATCTAAGGCAACTGCATGCCACATATTGACTGTGGAAAAGTATCACATCATTGGAAAGGTATGATTGTCAGATGACTTATATATCATCAGCCACTTCAGGTTTTGCATGCTTCATAACAAAATATAGCAGCAGGTCTTTTTTGATATGAAATAAAATATAGTGTAAATAAATTCGAGCAATTTATAGCTTGATTATGAACCTCAAGCCACTATTGGGTATTCACTCCTTCGTTTCCTTTGAACTTAAATTCTCACATTCCAACATAGCCAGAAGGCTGGGTATGACCGTATGACAATCATTGAAGACACATAATATTAGTAAAAGTGAAGTAGGCTTAGTTTAGTAATCTGTGTTGTGGTATTTTGGGCTTAGGGATGCCAATTCGGGTTGAAAAGTCGGATCCAGGTCTAATTCAAAATATTTGATTCAATTTTAACTCAAGCCTCACCTGCCTAAGCAGAACGATCCATTTATTAAATAGATCATGCAATTTATTTTTGATCAACACAACTAGTTTAACCCAAAAATGAATTATTTAACCCAAGCCCAAATGATAATCGAGTCCATTTAAGCTTTCAAGTCAGCCCAAATAATAATATGATCAGCCCGAACTCAAACTTTTCTAGTCAGGTTTGAATCAGGTTGTTAAGCCGGGTCATTTATTAACATCCCTTTGTACCATGTTGAAATAAAATTGTTGCTACTATCATAGATATGAAAGAGATCTTCTACAACTGCATTCCCAATCATAAAGCCAAGGAAGGGGCGTACACTCGGTAGATCATATGACTTCGATTTGCATGTTTTCAATTGAAATAAAAAAATGATTAGACAAATTTTTGAAAAGTGAGACATTAGCAAATGAAAGGATTAGTTTTCACGAGGCAGGATAGCCAAATGGTCCTAGTTCAAACGGAATCAAAATTTGTCCTGGAATTCTAAAAGAGACGGGAAAACAATTAAGATTTTGCAAGATGGGCAAGTAGGAGGTGGCGGGCTAGTCGAAATTTATCTGAAGACAGCATTATCATTATCATAACACCATAATAAAACCAGAACTATTGCATATTTCAAGAATTATAACAATCAAGTACAGCAATAGTCGAAATGAATAGATGATAATCACTACAAAATTACAGTTTCTAGTAATTAAAGGCTTGAGGTACCTGGACAATGCTATAAATGCCAGGAATTGACATAAGATCAGCTCCAAGAAGCCTTAAACCAAAGTCAACATGTGGCTGCAAGACAACGGTAAAAACTGAAATTTTAAAAGAAAACCGCTTATTCAACCATAAAAATAACAGAAAATATGTTTCATAGTTTACCTTCTCCATTAAAGAGACGAATATTTTTGCAAAACAAGGAAAACTAGGAACAAGTGGCTTCAATGTAATTCTTGGTATAGCAAAGACCTGTAAATCTATGACCTGTCCAGAAGGAGACAATATTAGCAACTATTCAACCTCAACTGCATTTCACAAGGTAATGAAGCAAGTACAAATAACCTGTGCAGATGCTTTTAATCCAAAAGCTTTAACAACAACAGTTATATTAGGATTTCCAGCCCATTTCAGTACTGGCTCCATAATCAATTCCTTCTCGTCAGTAATATAAACTTTCATTCCTGCCATACACCAAAAATTAATTACAATGAATCAACATGACAAACAATTGGAATTTTTTTTTTTTTTTTGGTGTAATTGCTACCGATAGCAACTGACGGACAAAGGGAAGCAAAAAAAAATTATGCCCTCTATCATTTTGGAAAACTTTCTGTTTTAAAAACCAGATGGGTCAAGGAAAATGTATTACTTCATTCCAAAGAGTAAAATGCTAATATATGTATATAATTGTAGTTTTTTGAAAGCTGGTGTCTCCAGTTTTATTTAAGGTAAATAATTGAAGCACTGCCTTATAGATTTATCTTATCTGGGCATGCCTTAAACAAAAGTACAACTCGACTTCTGTAAGTTGATTTCAAGCATACTACTACAAGATTTAGCCACAAAATGACAAGGTATTCTCTGTTATTTTAGCAGCTAGAAATTATTTGTAACCATTTGAGTAATCAAACAATTCCCTCACATTAATCTTCGGAGGGAGAAAGCAAGCTTGACGATGTTATAGATGATGAACCACCAAAATATGAGATTACCAAATCAAAGACAACAGTCAATTGCATGTTATGTGATGAATTTTAACATCCTCAGCCAGTTCTGAGGATTAAAAATGGATTAGTGTCTTCTTTATGTATGCAACTTGAAATTATAATTTATAAGATATGCAAATTAAGCATTGATGAGAGTTTAATGAATATTATCTCAAAAACAGCTTTGCTTAAAATTAGTTTGACATTAGAATTATATCCTACAACTTTAATTAGGCTTGGGTGAACCTTACATCCTTGAATGTTACTGAGTGTTGTATAGTTCATCGTCATATAGAAAGTTATAAAATTAAGATCTGGTGTAATGCCCCATCATGGATGTTAAACATATCTGCTTAGGTCACCCTCTATTTTATGACATGAATGTTAGTTATTATTGGCAAAAAAGTACATGTTTTTAGGCTAAATGATATCTCTATTCATTTGTTTCCTGCTAAGATTACTAACTCTTCATCTAAGTAACAACACAAACCTAGATCTAATACAAAGACTACTTCTGGTCAATCCCTTAAAGTTATACTATGGCTTTTGCAAGTTGTTCAATCAACCACTATTCTGCTAAACCACCTGAGGTTTCAACACAAATCTCCGCTGCTATGACCATACCATCCTCTACTTATAGATTCAAATGTTCTTGTCAAAAGACTTATACCCTTATACATGCAATGATTACATACATTTTCAGAATTTCAGAACCTAATAAACTACTCAATGAGCTTATCAGAATTTCAGAACCTAATAAACTACTCTATGAGCTTACTTCCACATAAAAGATGTTCAACACACCATAGATTTCATATCGAGTTCATAGTTATCCAATTTATGATTATAGGTTGAACGCCACAAAGCATGATAAGTTCAAATGTTAAGAAGATGGACTAATATGAAAATGCATTTTATTTATTATGACCTTATTTTAACAGCTACGTTGATGTTTATATGTTATTTATTATTTCATGTTCTTAATTAATTTAATAGTTTAAATTTGAGGCTTACACCTCAAAACATCTAGATGTTTGCACCTCACCTTAAGGTAAGAAAACGCCTCAATACTTGATTGTGCCTTGCCTTAAGGAAAGAAAAGACCTCAAAACCTTGACTAAGAGGGTGAATTCTAAAATGCAACTTGTACCGTTTAAGAAAAAGAAAAGTTTCTTTTGACTACAACAAGCTAAAGATACAATCGTAAAATGGTCTTCAGCTTTTTTTTTTAAAAATTTAATTATGATTGAAATAAGAATGTACCTTCTAAATTTTAAATTCTAAATTTATAAGATCTAATTACACTTATTTCTTTCAATGTCACCTAAGTGGTGCATCCAATTTGGTGATGACACTACTAAGCAATAGCATTTTGTTATTAAGGTATTGGGACTTAGATGCACCTCATCCATATTTAAGCGTAGTTGGAGCTTATATAGTCAAGTTCACACCTTGTTGCACAATTTGTGACTAGCGCTATTTGTTACTTTTATATATATATATCTGTGTGTGTGTTACTTTTACCATATTAAAATGTTAATATATTATTTCTTACCTTCATTTTAACCTTACGATTTTTTTATTGATAATCATACGCATTAAAATGTCTTGCTTATGCCTCGCATAAGAAAAATGCCTCAATAGCCAATTGCACATTTTTAAACCCTGGGTGTCAAGTAGAGGTTTTGAATCTAACCTCTCAAAAGTTAAAGCAATTTTTTATTGACCAACGCCTACTCTATATCTAATATTTGGAGTTTTTATGAGTTAGCTATATTTTATAGACAAATCATTAAGAACTTCAACATCATCCACATAAACATGTATTTTGAAAAAATGATAAGTTTAATTGGATACCATCCATTATCAAAGCCTTAGAACAAATAAAAGTATCAATGATTGCATCACCAATCCTAAAGCTCCCTAATTTTGCAAAAATTTGAAGGTATCATGTGATGTATTTGGCATTGGTATAGGCGTTCTTAGCAAAAGTCACAGAATCGTTTATTTTAGTTAGAAGTTGAATAAGGATAAACAGTATTATTTTACTTAAATAAAGAAGATTTTACTCAACTTCATGCTTTAAGGTACTGGCAATGCTTTAAGATACTGGCAATATTATTTGCAAATAAAGGAATTCATTCTTATTTCTAACCTCGGCCAAGATAGCTTAATGTAAGTTTTATTGTCCTTTATTATAAGAGGATAATGTCAAATAGTTAGTCAATGTAGTGTATGCTAAATATGAAATGTTATTAAATTGCGTACTGGCAAATACATTTTCCATCTTGTCACTTCAAATTTATTAAGATATTTGGTTGAGAAAAGTAATTGGAGCATGCATCTTCTAACCATTCAATGTGCATGCAATAATATTATATGCAAATCTACAGGCAAGACAACATTAGAAATTGTACAAGGACTAAAACATATAAAGTGAAGACTGAAGAGATATTGTCACTTTACCAATGAAAGCATAATTTGATTCCGTTGCACATTTGCACAACAATATATAATTTACATAGTGAGATTAAATAAATTGAAATATATAATATGAAATATTCTAATGATGTAAATATTTAAAGAAGTGCTCAAGAGTTTAATGAAAGTCACTTTGCCATGATTTGTATATTTCCCGAACATTTAATGAACCTAGATATAAGAAATTGAATGCAAAATCATGCGATCCTTTTAACACAATGCTATAATGAATATGTTTTAGATTAAAATTTTGATATTTTAATTAATACTATATTTAATATTGAAGATATATTTATTTTTCTTATTTAAATACTGAGGATATTTTGTCTAATCGAGAAACATTCAAACTTCAAAAATTTCTTGTTGATTCTTTAAAGATGAGATTTTCTACTTAAAAATTTGCTTTCATAAATCATATCATTCCAATTAGACTACATGCTTGAATTTGCATGTATCAAATAAAGTAATACTTGAAAAACAATGTTGTGAGCATTGGTTTCAGGTCTAATGGATAGAGAGGCCTCTACCAAATAATGCCAACATGACCAAGGAGGAACTATAAAAGCTTGCCCCATAAGTGGTCAAGTGACCTTAAGTGGTCAAATGACCTTCGATCGTCAGACGGACTGCGTCGTTGCAATCAAAGCGTTGAATTTGCCCAAATGGAAGCCCCTCGCAATAAACTCGAAACGGAAATGGTCAAAATCAGCGACCGACGTCCGAAATTAACGCGCAATGCTGCCCAAACAATGTCCAATCTCAAAACATACTTCGTCATTGCATTCGAAACGTCGACAATACCCAAGAATAACTATAATTTCGCCTAACAAAATCTACCCGAGGAAAATCGAAGAGGATCTTGAGGTGATGGTGTGCTAATTTAGAAAAAATGAGTGTGAAAAACAAGGGTCATTAATTGACTATAAAAAATAAAAAATCAACTCAATCGAAGGCCTCATATCTCCTACACCTGCTCCGTCCAAATACTCGAAATCCTGTAGTTTTAGTTTGGGTCTCGCAGTGGCAGCCTGCCTCATTGTTAAAATGAAACCAAACGAGGCTTCACGAGTTTCTCTTCGATGTTCTACGCACAATAGCCTCAATGATTAATCTGGTAAGCTTCTGATTCTCGTGCCAATCCCTTGTATGTCAGCCCCCTCTGTCCCTTGCAGTTTGTCGACTACACATGAGTCTCCACTTGTATCAGTTTGCTTCGAGACTTTCTTCCTCCCTCAAATCATCCAACCGAACTCACCAAATCCGTCCGACTCCTCTTGAGCCTGCCGAATCCAATCCCCTCAGCTCATTCTGTCCTTCGATCTCGTCAACTGTTGAACACCCATCGAATCTGACCCTTCCACCCGTCAGCATGCGAACAAGCTTCGATCTGAACTTCATTTCGTCCGACACGAGCACCCAACTCCCATCTTCTTACAGCCCATCCTCCTCGGACAATACAACCCATAGCGGTTGGGGCCAACTATAGGCGATGACCATTGTCTATAGTGGAGTCGGCTCGCAGTTTATTTGGAATTCAACCAAAAATATGTGAGTTTTGAATGACACAAAAAAAACTACGATGTGAATTTGGAATTCACCAAAATTTTATTTTGCATTTCTTTTTCATTAAACTAGACATCAAAATACCTAAAGTCTGTGCATTTTGAATACTTTACACACTTTTCATCAAGCCAAATAGCCCCTAAATTTTCTTCTCCTCGCACCAACTTGATAAATACAGTACAAGAACATCAGAATAATCGAAGTTCATTTTTTTACTGATTATGAAAATACTAACAATTGCTAACCACCATTCAACATTGTTAGAAAAGTGATATATATATACATACATACATACTGATGCGGACATCGGTAATAAGATTTGGCGCATCTATCACAGGCGGCGTCGTAAATCGACGTGCATTATTTAAATATTCATTTATGTATTATTTTTTTGAATTTTAGCTCTTGTTTTATGTATTTTTCTATTTTACCCCTAGGATAGTTTATGTGAGTGTCTTGGCCCAAGGGGCATTTTTGTAATTTTGATTTTCTCATGTTATGGCCTATATATAAGGCCTTAATCTATTGTAATGAGATGGTTGATTGATATGAAAAATTATTTTCCACACTTGTGTTCTTCTTGTGAGAGAGCGTTAATGAGATTTCTATGAGAGAAATCGATAAGTTTCACCAGCCGCAGGATGGGTCCGGGCTCGTGATGTGAAGTCCCTTGGAGAAGGGCAACGCAATACCCACCAGTCATTGGAAGAGTCCGTGGCTCGTGGTAGTTATCATTTCCCCTCGTCTTTCTTCCCTACTCGCCACCATCCCCAATTGCTCCCAAGCCGCCGTCTCCCTTTCCTCCACCTCCCTCCTCAAATTCGGCCACCTTCACCCGATTCCACCTCTTGGCCGCCGGCCACCTTCTCCCCTTTTCCCTTTTTTTTTGGGATTTCCTAATTTGGTTGGGTTAATTTAGGGATTAATTTGAATTTGAAATTATTCAAATTCAAATTTCAAATTCTTTCCTAATTTGGTTCATCTATTTTAGGAAAGTATTTAATTTAAATCAATTTGAATTTTAAATTCAAAAAGGATTTATTTCATTACTTTCCTAACTCATTAAACCAAATTATGAAGCCTTGAATACTCTCATTAAATCCCTTCCCCTCACTTTGCCGCCGGCCCCCTTGGTGGTCCCCTCTCCTTTAATGCTTCATTAAGGGATTTGATTGCATGTTATTTGAATTTCAAATTCAAAATTCAAATTTGCATTAGGATTTAAATGCCCCTCAATTTCCTCCCTTTAATTAAGGAATTAATCGCAGCCTTAAATCTGAAATTTAATTTCAGATTTAGGATTAATTTTACTTAAGTAATTGGGGCCCGCTTATTTGAAATCAAACCTTTCTCATTTCCTCTCTCCAATCCCCTTAATCTCCATAATTACTCTCTTTAATTCCCCACCCAATCTCAACCTAAGCTGCCGCCCCTTTGATTTTTCCTAACCTTAAGCACAATTCTCTCCACCCATTAGTTTCCCCACCTAGTTCTGAATAGTTCTACATCTGTCCAGAAATTCTGGATTGAAAGGAAGCTACCCGGACTCCCAAACTCAGCAATAATACTATCCAGACGGGACCCTAGCAGCTGTTTACTCCCTGTACAGGTGCTGTCCAGGATTTCTAACTGCCCTCCTTGCTGTCCAGATATTTGGAGAAGGCTCTAACTGCTGCCCGAGAATTTCCAGACGTTGGAGTGTGCTGTCCAGGATCCCCAGCATCTTCTCCTAGCCTCCCAACCAGCAGGAGTGCTTTTCCAACTGCTGTCCAAGAAGGACAGCTTTCTGTCCACCAATTCCAGCAAGAGAATCTGAGAGGATTCTTCTAAGATCTCTCCCAAACTCCATCTTACGGGAGTTTTCTGCCTTCCAAGGATTGCAGCCAGAGAATTTCAGCAACTAGTAGTGTTTTTCCTGCAATATTGAGACTTCAAAACTACTGTTTTTCAAGGCCAACCTGCTGTCCAAGTTTTCTAAAACATCAAAGCTGCTGAGAGACCCTCTCTCTAGCGTAGCATTTCTCGTTCTACATCACATATATATATATATATATATATATCATTAAATATATCATACAAAGTACAAACAAATGGAGTTGTCAATGAGCACATGTGTATGTGCACCCACGCCTTAACTCTACTATTCAAAGCATAAACAAATGTGGATGTCAATGTGCAGATATAAAAGGTTGGTTGTTGTGTGTTGGATCATTGGACTTGCAAAATTCGAGCTCAAGAGAAGGTAAGAGCAGGATTGTTGGAACTAGACTAGCAATGTGGAGGGGAGAGCTATATTGATGATGTAGCCATGTAGGTGCTTTGGGGTTGAGAAGATGCAGAGGTGGAAAAGAAAGAGTTTAGCGCACGTAGGCTTTATGCAAGAAGGCAGAAGGTGCAAGAGATTTCACAAAGAAGATTAGAAAAGAGGAGCAGCACCCTAAGGCCGTGGCAGATGTGAGAAGAGCTAAGAGAGAAAAGGAGGGGAGCAACGCAAGATGAGATGCGCATAAGGCTAGTAGAAAAACAAGAATAGCAATCATGAATTGTGGAACATTGGAGCAGGACAACACTTGAGAAATTCATGAGAGTGAAGAGAGATATAGCAACAAGTCATGCACTAGGGGACTTTTACAAGTATGAGAGTGGGACGAGCTTGAGATGTCCATTAGTATGAGAGGGCTCACACGAGCATCATCGTTAAACATGGATGTTATGGTTAGGGTGAGTGTTACATGTGTGTGCATTTGTTTATTCCTTTTTTTGTAAACATTATCACAACAGATTGACAACATAGTTGCCTTGCAAATAGTGGTTCAAAAATTAAATTCATCATCACCAAGATTATCCGACCCCACAGTGGGATAAAAGCTTAATGTTGTCATTATTGTTGTATCACCAAAATTATCATCATCATTAGCCTTATCCCTACTATTTGAGATCACTTTTATGAATCTACATTCTCCATTGTTTATGATAAGTGTTGTGCGGGGATTAAACTTATGTTATCTTTCTCATAACTTCTAGTTATCTTCAATATACCCATTTTTCCTTTTTAAACATTCCACATTATTCTTTTATTCATGCATCTTATATGAATCTTTAGCCCTTTATTACACTAAACCCTAAACTACCTAAGCCTATTTTTGACTACCTCTCATTCAATAGATGCTACTCACAAGTTCAATCAGCCATCTAACATTCCTAAACATATTCTCTCTGGTTTTGATGTATTAATCTTGACATTTCTATTTTGCCACCCTCAACTTGGGTATCAGTAACTTCTTAATTATCAAGCACCAAAAATTTATATAATGTCAACCAATTTGTAGTTTTGAAAAATGGAGATATGCTTTAGAATTAATAATTGATATAGAATGTTTTGGAGTCTAAAAATGATTAATTTTGTCAAATTGCAATTAGATTCACCATATAAAACAGAAATAAGAGTTAAGCAATAGAGTTGTTTGTAGACAACTAGACTATGATAAATTGGAGTATTTAGAGAAGGCATGACAAAACTAGAGAAGTAAATATATTTTTGTGATGGATGGAGTAACAACAATAGAAAATATAAATTAGAAAATAATTTAAAATGACCAGTGTATGCTCAACATAAGGTAGAAAAGACAAAAAATATGAGAAGAAAAACCAAGTAGTAAACCAACTATAGCATGGCTATAAGTCGTGCAAAGATTTGTGCCAACTATACAATAACAACAACAACAACAAGCATTTATCCCACTCTGTGGGGTCAGCTACATGAATTCTTTTTCTCCATTGTGTCTTGTTAAAAGTTAAATTCTCATTAAAATCTAATAAAGAAATGTCATTTCTAATATTTTCTAACCAAGTTTTTTAGGTCTACCTCTACCCTTCTTAACATAAGTCAAAGCTAATACAACTACTTGCCTAACCGGGTCATCGAAAGACCGCCGTTTTATGTGACCATCTAAAGCGACTCTCTCTAATCTTATCTTCCACTAGAGCTACTCCAACATTTTCACGTATAAGTTCATTTTGTATCCTGTCTCTAAGAGTAAAGCCACTCATCCACCTGAGCATCCTCATCTCTGCAACACTTAACTTAATATTCTGCTTCTATTTTAATGGCCAAGGCCAACATTCTACCCCATAAAGCATTGCAAGTCTAACCACCATCTTATAGAATTTTCTCTTAAGTTTGAAAGGGACTTTTCTATCACACAACAAGCCCGATGCATTCCTCCACTTCAACCATCCAACTTGAATTCTACTAATAATATCCCCAACTTGAATTCTTCTCTGTTGAGATTTTATGCTACAACAACAACAACAACATCAAGCCTTTGTCTCACTACATGGGATCAGTTATATGAATCCTTTTTCTCCATTGTGTCTGTTAAAAGTCAAATTCTTGTTTAAATCTAATAAAGAAATATCATTTCTAATATTTTCTAACAAAGTCTTTTTAGGTCTACCTCTACCTTTCTTAATATAAGATCATTTTGTGCCAACTATAGTTAACAAAAAATCTAACACTCAGTAAAAATGAATGAAAAAGAATGATCCATAAAGTAGACCCCAAAAAGTTATGATATGATGATGATTGGGACTATCACATCAATCTCAAAATAATCTAATTTTTCCCTACTCCATCAACCCGTACTCCCACTTCCACAGCACAAAAAAAAAAATTTTGAGATAAAATAACAACGTAACTTTCAAAAAGAATTATGTAATAGTAATGCCAACCTTGAAAGGTAGGCGGTAATGAACCCAAGGTAAGTGTTTGAAACTCGACTGAATCAATTTTATATTTTGTGGTATTCTCAGCAATAATTGGCTTGGCAATCTCCTTTGCAGTATTACATATTGCCTTCAATAAAAATTACAAATATTAGTGCTATCAGCAAAAAATTAATGTTCAGATACACGCTTACCATGAAAAAAAAGGAAAAATTGTACCTTATCCAGATATGGCCACATGTTCTCTATAAACTTGTTTAACCAATCAACCTTCAAGGAAAACCGTTAGACAAACATAAATATAGTTGCTTTGTGATCCTCAACATACTAAAGCAACTAAACAAAAGCATACCCTGTCGAAGTCTGGGTTTTTTACCCATAAAGGTATCTCAGGAAGCATGCGCTCCAGAGTTAGCGAGTCAAGTTCAACAAGTGACCGAATTTTAGGATCCTGATAAAATAAGGGCAAATAAACTAAAATTATAAAGGATCAATAGACATTTTTTATACAAAAGCAAGTAGGATCAACCTTGATTTAAGAAAAATTCACAAACTTCCACCAAACTACTAGCTATTATATTTTACCAAAGTAATTTGATGGCATACAGACATTAAACTATGGTTCATGCTCGTATTCACAACTTGAACATTTTTTGGTTTGCAAGACTTGCAAATTAATGATAATTTTAGGAAATGTTAAGATACTTGGTATCATGACATTACATTAAAGTATAATATACTTAAAAAAAGTTCTGAAATGAGAAAATACAAGGTAAAAAAAACTAGAACAAAAGGGACATTCTAGATTTAAAAAATAAATTGGTATACAAAGATGTTTGCCTTTATTAAGGGGCCATAATTATTGATTCATTCAAATTAGTGTCACCATAACTTATAAACTTAATAGAGGCCTAGTTTAACAAAAATCCACCAAGCTAGAACATATACCAAAAAAAAAACAGTGCACCAAGTTGTAGATGTCAATTAAACCATTTAAAAAGCTTTAAAGAATTTACTTCAAAATAATTGGGAAAAAATATTTATATTTGGCACATACAACACGCTCCACCAATAGGGATGATTCGTCAAGTCATACATGGTTGATATGTGTACCCCTCAAATGGCTTGTACCTCCTAGATTTAGGTTAGTTCAAATGGCTTGGCATAGTTGTGAACTTGATTTGGAAACGCGTGTTGATTGGCTTACAAGTGATGCAAAATTACATGGGATCACATAGATGATTGAATATCAAACATCTAAAGATTTGGGAGAAACGGATCTTTCTCTCCAATAGAAGATCCCTTATATCTTGTTGTTTTTTCTTCATCTACTATCAATCAAAAAGTCAATTTCTGATTTTTCTTCCAAGTTCTTCGCAATTCTGTTGTGTTGCTGAAATTAATTCCGGCAAGGAATTTTCCTGATTTTCTACAAGCATGTCCTAACATAAAACTACTTAAGGAATCCACAATACCTGAATGTCCAAAATGATATGTAAGGGGAACATTAAATCCAAAAAGTTTAAGCCAACTCTAGGTAACAAGTAGTTAAATAATAACCACTGCTTATTGCAACGTGGAATTATACCCAACCCTCCGATAACTTAATACAATGTAAAACCTATTGACAACTTGGCATGGTTATTCAGTCTCCGTAAACCACTCCATTCACTAACACAAAATAATTAAACGGTCATTTTCAAGCAGAAATTTTTTTCCCTGAATTATAAGGATGCCCATTCATAACCAATCTAAAAAAATCATCAATATACCAACAAAGGGTGAAATTGTCAGCTATAAACATCACTGAGAATAGAGGACATAAAAATTTTTCCCACTCAAGCATAAAGTAATATGCCTCCGTTACTTTCAGGTTTGTAAACTCTTAAAGGAGCCAATGTTTGTACCAAATATATCCAATAAACCATAAACAACAACAACAACAACAACAAATAAATCCTCATTTCCTCATAATCATTCCGTGCAGAAATAATATCAAACTAATTAAGCATTTCCAATTAAGAAGTAAACACACACCCAAAAAGAATACACAACCAAATTGATGCATTTCCGAACTTACAAACAAAAAAGAACAGATCAAAAGTAGCAGAACAACATACCTTGACATCAGTGGAGTGGAAGTAGATGAAGAGATAATAACCGATGACAACCCCAGCAGAAACTCCAATCCCGAATCCGAAAGTACCCAGCAAAGAGCTCACAAAACCCATCCCAAATCCCTGCCTGCACTAAACAGAACACTCGCCTTTTCCCTAATCCTCTTAAACAAGAAAGAACCACTCAAATCTTAACAGCTGAGAAAAGAACAAAAGTTTTCCCACCGTAATGAGAAAACCTAGCCAAATATTTTAAATAATAAAGCAAATAAAGGAGTTGAAAAGGGGAAATTTTCACAGATCATCCATACTTCGCTATCAGTCCACGGTGATATTTTCCCAGAGGATTCAAAAAAATAGATCAAAGAATTGAAAGGAGGTATGACAACATTATAGCGGCTAGAAATAAAGAAGAACTCGTGAGCTGAAACGGATGGAAGAGTGTCGGTAACGCCCCCACATGGCGTGGGACCGATGAAGCTGAGAACATTTGATGGCTTTGCTTCGGATTAAGGCCACCAATAACAAAAAAAAAACAATTTTTACTGCTAATTAATTCGCCTTGAAGGCTAATAATGACGAATCCTTCAAAAAAATTTGATCTTTCTCGACATGTGGCAGTGCAAGGATAATGACATAGGTGGAGCGGTATCCGTCTGGCATTCGTGGAGCATTTAATTTCTTTCTACGCGTTAAGGCCGAGTGGCCGACTCGCCGCTGTAGGAAAGAACTGATAGATGAAACGACTGTTGCAGTTTATAGTAGTCATCAAGGCCCTTTACCATCTCCGTTTTTCAAATGGGGGAAGGCCCTTTACCCTCTTTTCATATTAATTTTAAATCATACAAAACTGTTAGAAAAAAAAATATAAATAATGATAATGATAAAGAATTTTAAAACAACCAGGAAGTACTACATTGGCTCATATAAAAATCATAAGTAAAATAAATTTATTATCTAGAGATATTATTGTTAGAAAATGATGAATCAAATACAAAGAGAAATAGTAAAGAGAATTCATCATTTTATTTATTAATTTGAATTTTAAAAATATCCTTACAACCAAAATGTCCCTTGACCCCGCGACCTGATTGGGCAGGCCGAAACCCGCTAGGGGGCACTCCCCCTTTGGACCCCCGACATATATGCGAAGCGTATGACGATCAAGGATATGAACAAATGTCAATTTTCCTTTTTATTTAGAGGCCTTAGTTACTTTTAGTATCTAAAATATATCTTTAGCGATCATTTTCTTTTTGTCTCTTTTTTTTTGTTATTAACTCATTTTTGTATAGTGAAGGGTCGAGTCAAATTAGAGGCAACACCAATAATTACTCAAAGAGGATTTCGCCCCTGATCATAACTATCTCTCACATAACTTAGGTCACGAATATCACCTAAGCGACTTACAACACGTATATCTCTGCATAAATATGTGTGCAACAACCACTTAATTAGGAAAGATTGACAACCACCATCTTACACCCACTACAATAAAATAAATATTAGTACCAGATTTGTATAACATGCCTAATTAATTAAGGATTCCTAATTGTTATGGGTCCTAAATCTATAGTTAATTGTCACCAATTAAGGAGTGGCAAATTAAAATTGTAGTCAACACATAACAAATTAGTTTATATTAGTCAACCTCCAATTATCTAATTTGCAACTATTGTGTATCCATTTTTTGACAATTTTATATTTAGCAACTTTTTAGCACAAACTATTATGATTATTATGTAGCACATATTTAATAAGTTGTCAGCAAAATATATGTAGCAAATCCATAAAAAATATATCCATAATTCAATCATAAGATTTCATTTTTAATTAATTGAATTTAAGTCCTTTTTATTATATCACTATAAATTCAGTATATAAATTTCACTAAAATGTAATTCTATTGATCATCTATTTTCCCTATCATCACCCTCGGGCTTCTGCCGAGCATAGCCATTGCCACCCATAGCCATTGTAGGCGCTATAATCGCCCGCAAGCGTTGTCACAGGCAACCATTGGCCGTCTTCATCATCATTGGGATTTACATTGTATTCTTTTTATTTAAGTTGAAAAAATAATCGCCTGCATTTATTTTAAGAAAATTTATTATGTGCGGTGTCCGGAAGCTTCCAGAGGCCAATCTGGATATACCACATCACATATTTTATAATGCATTGGATGATGTGGCGTGTCTGGATTGACCTACGGACGCGTTCTGACTCCGCACAAAATAATTTCTCTTATTCTAAGCTCATCCAAATATCTTAAATACACTGTATTTCTTTTACTTTAGTTTCGTTCCGCCTTGTATTTCTTCTTCAGCAAACCAAGTAATACTCTAATGAAAATACCTCTAACATTAAAAAAAAAAAACCATGGTGATTTTTTTTTCAAATTTTAATATGTAAATTTGAACTGCTTAGATCAAAGATTAGTCAGGTTAAATGTCTATTGCTATTATTTGTAGCTAAAATAGCTATTTTGAATTAAATAAATGATTTATTAAGGTTCATATATAGCAAGATTAATAAGGGCTTTTATTAGCGTTGACTGAGCTGATTAAAGTAAGCATTATATGAGGATAAGTTATTAAGAGTGGAGGGATAAATAGGCTATGAGACAACTAATTATTAACTGTCATGAAAAATTGTCTTGCACATAGGGGTCTAAAATTTAGTCAAGCTGACTCATGAACTTATTTGAGACCAACTCATTAAATAATTCGTGAGTCAAATTTAATGAGCTACCAAGTCAAGTTTTAACTAGTTCTGACTCAACACATCAACTAGAGAGCAATTCATTTAGAAAAAAAAAAACTTTAATAAAGAGATACATTAAAAATATATTAGAATTTAATGGTTTTATCATAAATTTGTTAAAAAGAATGATATCTTTTTTTTTTTCTTAGTTCAAATGATTTCTTTTATTTATCATATAATTTTTTATTATTGGATCAATTTTATAAAGGAGCGGCATATATAATAGTGAAAATTAGTAGAAAGAGCATAAAATTCAAATAATTTGAAAAGGAAAAAACTCTTCAAACAACTTGGCGCATACAAAATGAGATAAATAATTTGTTGTATTTTGAATGCGTTAAACAATATCATGCATTCAGCTGATAGAGAGAGAGAGAGAGAGAGAGAGAGAGAGAGAGAGAGAGAGAGAGAACAAGAGAAGAAGGTACGGGGAGAGAGGGAGAGGAAGAGGGTGAGAGAGAGAGAGAGAGAGAGGGGCAGAAAGAGGGGATATATAAAGGAGTATTATTCATCAACCATGTATAATAGCCATGGAAGACTATCCAAATTTAAAGGAGTATTGTTCATCGACCGCATATAATGAGAAATCATGAGATAGTAATGCACTTCTCCATCTTGGGCTCCACCTTTATATCTACTCATTAAATACAACTAATATGTACTCATATCTTTCTTCATGGTATCAGAGTTTAAGCCTCACAACACCTCATAAAACTTGAGCAACCATGGAAGACTATCCAAACACGGCCACCATGAGGTCCATGACCCCAACGTAACTAAAACATTCATGGCGATGTGTGGAAATCCATTCCTTCCTGGCTAAAATTTGTATTGGCCAACATCAAAAGATTGTCCACATCCAACTCTCTACCAAAAACTACCCGGCCACATGGAGTGCTCAAGTCCTAAAGCTGCTTCAAGCTAATGGCTTGGATGGCCACATATGGATGGAGTGCTACCTTGTCCTCTTAAGTTCACAACAAACTCAACAGGCATTAGAGCATTAAAACCTCAATACCCCCATGGTATGTTAATCAATCAAAACTTTTTGTGACACATGAAAAATATTGGATAGGAGATTAGTACACCACTTGATCAAGGCACCTATAACTTAAAAAACGAATTGCATAACTTGCCACATCTTGGCCCAATACAATTTGTTATGCTCAACAGGTCATATTGTGTCAAGATGGTGATAGCAATCTTATTACTTTTCAAGATCTATTTGAATTTTTTGTTTACTTTATATTTTCCTCAATATACAACATAGAATCATTCTAAAAACCATCTAATTTTCGCAAAAACAAAACATTAATTTCATTTCATTTCATCAAAAAGTACTTTCAAAAGAATAATATACATTAATCACGATTCAACTTTCTTTCCACAAAAACAAAAATATGTTCGTAAGTGGCAAAACTATATGCATAATGAACATACCTAGACTTGGGACTTGACATAGTCAACAACCTCTATTGTCACAATCAAACCCAATATAACATGTATACCGAACGGGTCATACCTTGTCAAATTGCAACAGTTCAATTCCCAAGATCCATTTAAAAGAAATTTCCTTTTTATTTCATTTAATAACAAAACACAGAGTTGCTATACATCAAAATAATAATGCAAAAATTAACTTAGAATATTTTCATCTTCAAAAAGCTATACAAACAAAATGTTTATATACACAATAGTCATGGTATAGAATCATAATACATCTTTATGAAATATACCCCATGATTGTAAAAAAAAAACTAACAGAAACACTCCTAACCACAAAGAATCAGAAATATCTATCAACGTAACCTACCATTTAATTTTCTCTTTCCCTTTTCCTAGCCTGAAATTAACAGATACAACAAAATATGTATGAGCAAATAATAAGTCAATAGACTACATTGAACCCACCTAAATTCTTAATAATAAAAAGAATATTAACTAAGATAATTCCTCTATAATTACATAAGTAGAGAATCATACTATCCATACAAAAACTTCTAATTGATCAACACAAGTTTCATACCATGAGTATTCTACCATGGAAAGAAAACTATATAAATTTATCATTCTTATAATGCAACAACTAAATTTAGATATATAATACTTGAGATCTATATTCTACATATGTATAATAGTTTAATTGTTACAATTTCATGTAATTAGGCCTTCAATTTCTATCATTATCTCGTGTGGCTTACAACACTTTCTATATTTTAGGCCTCATTTATGACAACTTTCTGAAGCAGTTTTCTATTATATTAAGATATTTTAGGCGGCACTAAAAAAATTCATATGAGTATCATTGTGTAAAAAGAAACATGGATTGTAATTATTTAAAAATTTTAATTTATGCACCTACTAAAAAAATTTTATAAGGAAAATATATATATCTCATCAAAACATTATCTTGATCAGGCACGAATCTCGAGGCAAAATCAAGGTGGAAACTTCAAAAATTAAATCTAAGTCAATCTAAACTCTGATTTTAGAAAATTTATAGTTGAACTGAGTGTCTCAGAAATATGAACCCAACGACACCAAAATGGACTCAATCTGAGCCCAAATGGGTCCAAATCAAGGACCCCAAGCATTTGTTGGATGGCTCAAATAGAAATTTGGTTTACCAAATGATTTCTAAACATGACATGCTTATAGTCGAATCGAGTGGCTCGACGAGAAAAATCCAACAAGCCTAAGATCATGAAATTATGACATCATTAAGACCTTC